CTGTATTCTCACAGCTATTTAAATTACGTCTCACAGATTAAAATTCTATTTCAAATCGCATCCTAGGGTCAGATAGCAGTGCAACAGTAAAACATAGCACTCTGTGAGGCCCGCCCACATGGGAGGGTCCAGTCCTCATCTGGGGACCTCTCTGTGTACACCAGGCTCACAGGCCGCCCATGATCTGGGGGACAGGTCACGGCAGCAGGACCCTGTTAGGGGCCCTGTCTGTCTCTCTGTCACTCATGGTAGGAAAAAACTTTACGCGCACATACAAAAATTGCATCCTGTATGTAAATCACCACAACTGCACCAGAAGCTGGATAAAATATTACCTCTACCACACGAAAAGCACTATTGATCTTGAATTTAATTCTGGAAGATAGGGGTGTCTCCAGAGTGTTAGTGCAGTTGAAAGTTTCGATAACTTTGGAAGTGTAAATGCTGCATACTCACGGAATGTCAGCTGAGTATTTACTAATTGAAATTTCTTCTACGTATGGTTTCCTGACATTTGAATGCTAAATTTTTCATTTTAATTCTCTGCACGTGCCAGTGTCTGAGTGGCGGGGGGGGGGGGCCTTTCCTGCGGACCCCTCGGTGGCCTGGCCCATGGTGGCCTGATGCCATGTGTCATGAAGCCCAGCTCTTTGGAAGAGGGTAAAGCTGACACCCTGTGTGTGCTCTTTGCATCCCTGGCCGTCAGTTGGTGAAAGTTGTTTCAAAGTATAAAAATTAACTGGAGCCGTGTGTAGTACTAGATTGTGGTATCAAAATCTGAAGAAGAAACATTAGATTTAAAACATAGATAACCAGGGCCAGCAGGTGGCATGGTGGTTAAGGTGCTGTACTCCCACATGGCCGATTATAGTTCCAGTCCCGGACCTGGTAGCTTGAAAACCACACCAGCCACATGAGCATGTGTTTCCAAAATCCCAGGAGGATAAAGAAGGGACTGCTGTATGACCATCCCCCGGGAGGTGATGTCTCACTTTCCCTCTCTCTGTCTCTGTCTCTGTCTCTCTCCAGTGAGCACACACACCCTATGACAAAAACTTAAAAAGAAAATGGAGAAAACCTTTGAAATATCTTTTCTTTGTACGTTTGTTGCATTTATACTTCTTTTTTTTTTTTTTTTGAGAGGTTTTTGCTATAGGGCGTGTGCGCTCGCCAGAAAGAGAGAGACAGAGAGACAGAAAGCGAGAAATCACCCCCCAGGGGGGATGGCCACACCGCAATCCCTTCTCCTCCATTCTCCTCTCGGGATCTTGGGCACACACGCACATGCACCCGGCATGAGTTTAAGCCACTGCGTCCGGGACTTGAACCGCGCTTGACTACATGGGAGTCCAGCGACATAGCCATTACACCAACTACAGGTCCCGTGTTGCATTTATACTTTTGAAGTTCTCTCTTTTTTTAAACAAAATAAAAGAAAATCAGGAATGTATTTTTTAGAACAATAACCAAAGAGGACAAAATATACTTAGTTTCTTTTGAAGAAGACATATTCTGTAATCAGATGGAGGTTGAATTAATCTAAGTCCTAATACATGTATTTATATATGATTTTTTTTTTTTTTGGAGAGGTTTTTGCTATAGGGCGCACGTGCTCGCCAGACAGACAGAGACAGAGAGACAGAAAGCGAGAAATCACCCCCCAGGGGGGATGGCCACACCGCAATCCCTTCTCCTCCATTCTCCTCTCAGGATCTTGGGTACACATGCACACATGCCCGGCATGAGTTTAAGCCACCGGGTCCAGGACTCGAACCACAGTTGACTACATGGGAGTCCAGCGACATAGCCATTACACCAACTGCTGGTCCCAATGATTTTAAAGCTAACTTTCCCAAACCCCAACTTCTGTGATGCTGCCCTATAAGTTCAGGGCCAAAAATCCAATCAAAGCCATGTTAACACAATGCTTAAATGCTTGTGAATACATATTATTTTGTATTCCAAATAAAAATCAAAAGATGGAAAGGTTATTAGTGTCCCTAAACTTGGGTACCACCCCCCACATACACACTGCTAAATTTGACTGGAAAAAAACTTTAAAAATAAAAAAATTTAAAAAGATGAAAGGTTAACAACAACAAACACCACTTTCTTAAGGTAGCCAGCTAAAAAATGGCAGTAACTGGTACCTGTACTGCACTAGGACAGGACGGCCACCTCAGGAGCTTCTGAGGCTTGCTGCATTTCTTCTCTTTTTAAAAAAAGAATGATTGTATTTAACTTTATGTATTTATTCATTTTTAATTTAACCAGAGAAGGACAGAGTACGAGAGATGGTGGGGGCAGCACAGAGTGAGAAAGCAAGCCACCAGGTCCAAGACTTGAACCACCATCAGCCATGTGGGAGTCCAGTGCCCTTAACCACCACATCCTCAAGGCTAACTACATTTCTTTTCTTTTCTTTTTTTTTTTTTTTTTTTTTTTTGGAGAGATTTTCACTGTAGGGCGCGTGCGCTCGCCAGACAGACAGAGAGAGACAGAGAGATAGAAAGCGAGAAATCACCCCCCAGGGGGGATGGTCACGCCGCAATCCCTTCTCCTCCATTCTCCTCTCGGGATCTTGGGCATGCACGCACACGCGCCCGGCGTGAGTTTAAGTCACCGGGTCTGGGACTTGAACCACGGTCGTCTACATGGGAGTCCAGCGACATAGCCGTTACACCAATTGCTGGTCCCAATTATTATTATTATTTAAGGTTTTTGCCCGAACATGTGTGCTCAACGGCAAGAGACAAAGTGAGAAATCACCTCCTCCTCCCCTCCCACAATCCTTTCTCCTCCATTCTCCTCTCGGGATTTGGGCGCCTCCACACAGGCGCCAGCATGATTTTCAAGCTGCCAGGCCTGAGACTCAAACCATGGTTGGCCGTTGGAGTCCAGCGCTTTAACTACTGCACTGCCTGCTGGCCCATGTCTTGGTTTTCACCTTGATCATTTCTCTCCATGCACTTTTCCCATCAGTCCCTGTGGCCTCAGTAATGCACAGCTTTGCATGGTCCACACACACCGTGAGGCGTTTCACCAGTTCATGTGTTGGTGGATGTGTTCACCAGACACGGTCAGCCGTAGCCCATTCAGCCGTGGACAGCACTCCGATGTTTCAGTTCTGTCTTGTCTTCTACTGCACTCAGCCAGAGGCTCTGCAATTCCTGGAAGTGGGTTTGCTGCATCTGCAGGGGTGTCTGCTGTCCCACCCCTGCAGAGGCCTGCCTAGCCCCCAGCCGCAGAGCGCTGGCTGGGCAGGATCTGGCCCGCATCCTGGCCTGTGCAAGGACAGCGTCGCCTCCACCTAGGCAGTTGGGTCTCTGGGTTCAGGCTGCCAAGCAGGGAAGAGGCAGCACCCTGTCCCCAGCTCCCCCAAGGCAGCGCTTTCATCCTTTTAGAGAGAGAGAGTTGTATTTCTCCCTCTTTTCTCCGTTAGACATCTTTACTAACATTGGGCGACTGCATGTGATCGCGGGGCGCAGCCTGATGGCGCAGCTAAGAGCGTGTGCAGAGCTTGTCCAGGAGCTGAGCACCCATGCTCCCAGCTGCCTGCCTCCTCCTGTGTTGGACCAGCGAGGTCATCCCGGGAGCACCCCCCATGCCAGCCCCGTTCAATCTGTTGTTCAGGCACCTCCTCCCAAGGCCGCAGAAGTCGCCTGGACAACGTGGTATCACAGCGTTCGGTTTACCTATGAAGGTGGCTGTGGCTGGGCCGCTGGGTCGTTCCTGTCTGCTGCCCCTCTTGCCCACGGGGCCCCCCTGTCGCCGTCCCCC